GCTAGTTCCTTTAGTTTCCGGGACACTTGGAAAAAGATCAACATCTTCGTATTTAGAATATCCATAAAAAACATCTCCAACCTCTTGGTTATTTGGTTATTTCCTACTTATTTCCTACTCCCCCTTAGTTAGTTCCTCCTTAGTTCCTACTCCTCCTTAGTTATTTCCTACTCCTCCTTATTTCTTTTCTCTTTAGTTCCTACTCCTCCTTAGTTAGTTCCTCCTTATTTCTTTCCTCTTTAGTTCCCACTCCTCCTTATTTCTTTCCTACTCCTCCTTATTTCTTTCCTACTCCTCTTTATTTCTTTCCTCTTTAGTTTCTACTCCTCCTTAGTTAGTTCCTCCTTATTTCTTTCCTCTTTAGTTCCTACTCCTCCTTATTTCTTTCCTACTACTCCTTATTTCTTTCCTACTCCTCCTTATTTCTTTCCTCTTTAGTTCCTACTCCTCCTTAGTTAGTTCCTCCTTATTTCTTTCCTCCTTAGTTCCTACTCCTCCTTAGTTAGTTCCTACTCCTCCTTAGTTATTTCCTCCTTGTTGCATTACTTATAGCCACCTTTTGATTTCTTTTGTATTTCTTATTCTAAGATAAACCCTGCTTTCTTATTATTTAAAAATAAGGACGGAAATCTTTCCTCTGATGGAAGAAAAATGTTCCGGGACTTGCTATCTGGTCAACAAGTCCTTTCATTTTGGCTTCTGTTGCTGACATAAAACTATCTTTTTCCATCTCGTATAGAACATTATCGAAGTATAGACCCGTGTTTTGTGCATATAAGGATATAATCTCTATAAATAGACGTTCTATTTTAGTCGCATCGATGATTACGTCGTCCGCCTTCCCCCCAAACATAGCACAAGAAGGTTGATGGATCATTACCTTGATAATAGAAGGATTCTCTGTGTGGGAAACAAATTTTTCAAACAAAATAACTATAAAATAAAACTAAAGTAAAATAAGATAGAATTTACAAACCATACATGCATCGTCTTTTGCGCATTTCATACGGCCCCACAATCAAATTGACCCTTACTTCCATTCCATTCAAGAAAGATAAAAAAGAATCGGGGGTGGGTCATCAAAATGCCAACCTTCCTTTCTGAAGAGTTAAAAAAATACTATGATGGCCCCGTTGCTTTCTATTTGAAAGCGGATTCTTTTTTTTTTCTTTGATGCAGCAATCCCAAAGTTTCTTTTTGATTCAAAAAAGGAAAATTCTTGTTTTTTCGCATTCCTTTTTTTATACCAAAAATATGGTTAAGAACCTTTGACTATGAAAACAAAAAAGTTTGTACCGCTTAATTGGACTTCCGATAGATTAGATAAAATCGGAAATACCTTTTATCTCATACTACTCTCTCGATACATAATCGAATCATTTGAAAAAAAAAGAATACACACTTTCATATCGAATTCGAAGTGCCATGCTATTATTACTTACTATTGATATGGCGAGGGCATAGTTTTCTTTTTTCTCTCAAATAAAAAAATCTCATTGGCGCCAAGCGTGAGGGAATGCTGTACGTGTGGAAGCTTTTCCCGCAACCAGGAGGAAGGTTGCCATTGACGCGGCTATTCCTGTGCATGTTGTATGCACAGTTGCGCCCCCCCTATCATCATATTATATACAGACATTCCGTCTACTACAAATCCGCCAAGAGAGCATATGTACAAACATATATCCCTCGTGTGATCATCAAGATTGAGAAAGACCATAATAGCCGTAATTTAATTAGCGATCAACTCCTCAATATTTTGATATAAAAAAACACTTCTGTCGCGATAAAGGCGGTGGAGTGGGGTTTCTATCCCTTAGGAACCGTACACGCACCTTTTGATGCATACGGTTCAAAAAAAATTGCAAAAAGAATCAAAGTGTAGATTCGAGTCCTCTTTCTTTTTTTCTATTCTTTTTTATGAGCAGCTTTTTTCTAACTTCTAACGAAAGGACTTTTTTTTCGATTTTTTCAATAAAGCCGACTTCTTTTTTTTTTATAATAGAAAAAAATCACTAAACTTATCGAATTAACTTTTCATTGATGCATTCTTTCATCGAGATTCAATCCAAATCAGGATGGTATTTTCTTATTCCTGAATGGGTTTCTTTAATCTTTTTAGGTTGATGCTCTACTCTGGGGAAAGATCGGCCCGATTTTGATTTGGACATATAGGACAAATCTTCCCACCACCACTTCTTCTTTTTGTTTTTTATTATGACTTTTATTAATCATAGATGTATTTTTGGGAGTTTTCTAAACGGAGCCTGGATACTTGTCCAACCAAAGTCAACCATGAATTATTCGAATTGAATATAGGAATTCCCCCAAACAATGCGTCTAATTGCACTTCACGCTCCAGCTTTTTGATGATTCAATTTCTCTTTCTTGGGCGAAACAGAGGATATCTCGATCGCGGGAGAAAACGGAGAAATCCCATATAACCCAATATATCTGACAAGTCGCGTTATATGTCAATCCAAACCATCCGACGTTTCTTTTTCTTTTTCTTTTTGTCTTTGTCTTTTTGGTCTTTGTCTTCGTCTTCTTGGTCTTTGTCTTCATCTTCATCTTCGTCTTCGTCTTCCTCAGACTCAGAAGGAATTGGAGTTTTAGTTGGAGTTTTCCTAGTTTTTTTCGTTGGAATTGGAAGTAAAAACGGTACTTTAGGTACTCCAACAGGCATAATTTGAAAGATTGAATAAAGCAGGTTACTTTGATATGGAAACGTAAGAATATGGTTTTTCTGTCCTTAGTGATTTTCTATAGTTATTACTATGATGCTTTTTTTATTCCCACCACCCCTTTATATATATTAAAATACATATTATAATTATAATAATTATAGATAATATTGCCAAGGGTCAAATTCAAATCATAGACATAGATTCGATTTATGTTATTCATAGATTAGAAAAATTTAGAAAGAATAAATAAATAAATATATATATTAAAATATATATATTATAATTATAATAATTATAGATAATATTGTCAAGGGTCAAATTCAAATCATAGACATAGATTCGATTTATGTTATTCATAGATTAGAAAAATTCAGAAAGAAAAAATAAATAAAGGAAAATTTATACGAAAAGTTCCTTCTAATGATAAAGAATGAGGGACACATTGACTCATAGAAAAGGATATTAATCCCCCATTGCATATTGGTACTTATCGAGTATAGAATAAATCTGCTTCTCTTTGTTCCTACGAACAGAATTCTTCCATTACGAACAAAATAGAATAGATATTAACCTAACCCTTTTTAGGAAACAATCTTTCGAACAAAGGGGGTCCATAAGATAGTCATTTTTCCAATGCAATAAAGTTACGTAGTGTCTTTGATAAAGGGGTATTTTCCATGGGTTTGCCTTGGTATCGTGTTCATACCGTTGTATTGAATGATCCCGGCCGGTTAATTTCCGTTCATATAATGCATACAGCCCTAGTTGCCGGTTGGGCTGGCTCGATGGCTCTGTATGAATTATCCGTTTTTGATCCTTCTGACCCTGTTCTTGATCCAATGTGGAGACAGGGTATGTTCGTTATACCCTTCATGACTCGTTTAGAAATAACGAATTCGTGGGGAGGTTGGAATATTACAGGAGGGACTGTAATGAATCCGGGAATTTGGAGTTATGAAGGTGTAGCTGGGGCACATATTGTGTTTTCTGGCTTATGCTTTTTGGCAGCTATTTGGCATTGGGTCTATTGGGATCTAGAAATATTTTGTGATGAACGTACAGGAAAACCTTCTTTGGATTTGCCCAAGATCTTTGGAATTCATTTATTCCTCTCTGGGGTGGCTTGCTTTGGTTTTGGTGCATTTCATGTAACAGGCCTGTACGGTCCTGGAATATGGGTGTCCGATCCTTATGGACTAACGGGAAAAGTACAACCCGTAAGTCCATCGTGGGGCGTGGAAGGTTTTGATCCTTTTGTTCCGGGAGGAATAGCTTCTCATCATATTGCAGCAGGTACATTGGGCATCTTAGCTTTATTCCATCTTAGCATCCGACCGCCACAACGTCTATACAAAGGATTGCGTATGGGAAATATTGAAACCGTACTCTCTAGTAGTATCGCGACTGTCTTTTTTGCAGCTTTTGTTGTTGCTGGAACTATGTGGTATGGTTCAGCAACGACCCCTATTGAATTATTTGGTCCCACTCGTTATCAATGGGATCAGGGTTACTTCCAGCAAGAGATATATTGAAGAGTTAGTGCCGGGCTAGCAGAAAATCAAAGTTTATCAGAAGCCTGGTCCAAAATTCCTGAAAAATTAGCTTTTTATGATTATATTGGCAATAATCAAGCAAAAGGAGGATTATATTGGCAATAACGGAGATAGAATAGCGGTTGGGTGGTTAGGACATCCTATCTTTAGGGATAAAGAAGACGTGAGCTTTTTGTACGTCGTATGCCTACCTTTTTTGAAACATTTTCGGTCGTTTTGCTAGACGTTGATGGAATTGTTAGAGCTGATGTTCCCTTTAGAAGGGCAGAATCAAAGTATAGGGTTGAGCAAGTAGGTGTAACTGTTGAGTTCTACGGCGGCGAACTCAATGGAGTCAGTTATAGTGATATTGCTACTGTAAAAAAATATGCTAGACGCGCTCAATTAGGTGAAATTTTTGAATTAGATCGTGCGACTTTGAAATCGGATGGTGTTTTTCGTAGCAGCCCAAGGGGTTGGTTTACTTTTGGACATGCTTCGTTTGCTTTGCTCTTCTTCTTCGGACACATTTGGCATGGTGCTAGAACCTTGTTCAGAGATGTTTTTGCTGGTATTGACCCAGATTTGGATGCTCAAGTAGAGTTTGGAGCATTCCAAAAACTTGGGGATCTAACTACAAGAAGACATCCAGTCTGATACAAGACTGCCACTTTTGTCTCTTTCACCTTTCTTTTTTGAGTGGAGGGAATTTTCCATAGAATAGAGTATTGGAGTGAATTTGAATCATTTTTGATTCTTGCTCTTTCGAAATGATTCTCAAAATGAAAAAACCAGGTTTGGGAAGCTATAATTGTAAACCGCGATCAAATTTATGGAAGCATTGGTTTATACATTTCTTTTAGTTTCGACTCTAGCGATAATTTTTTCGCTATCTTTTTTCGAGAACCGCCTAAAGTTCCAACTAAAAAGAACTAAAACGACAAAAGAATTTTTCATTATCTCAATTGAAGTAACGAGCCCCCTGTATGGGGAGGCTCATTACTTCAACTAGTCCCCATGTTCCTCGAATGGATCTCTTAGTTGTTCAGAAGGTTGCCCAAAAGCGGTATATAAGGCGTACCCGGTAAAACTGACAAGTAAACCAGATATAAAGATGGCGACTAGGGTTGCTGTTTCCATTATGATTATATATCTAATTTCATGACCTCGACAGATCTATCATAAAATTGTTTATTTACAACGGAATGGTATACAAAGTCAACAGATCTCGATGAATACAATAGGATTTATGGCTACACAAACTGTTGAGAACAGTTCAAAATCGGCCCCAAGACGAACTACCGTAGGGGGTTTATTAAAACCATTGAATTCAGAATATGGTAAAGTAGCTTCGGGGTGGGGAATGACCCCTTTGATGGGTGTCGCAATGGCTCTATTTGCGATATTTCTATCTATTATTTTGGAGATTTATAATTCTTCCGTTTTGTTGGATGGAATTTCAATGAATTAAATCTATAAGAATTACAAAGTTCTGGCTTTTGAATAAAAAAGAAATCAGTTAGAACTGGGATATCTGGCCTATTCTATTTTGGTAGTTCGATCGTGGAATTTCTTTCTTTCTCTATTTCCGGAATATGAGTGTGTGACTTGTTAGAATTGATTCTATTGATAGTACAGAGAATAGGTCTGTCACCTTCATAGAGATGGTTCTACTTCGTCGGATATTTATTGAAATATCTGTAACACGAACTATATGAACTAGATTAAGAAATGTTTGAACTATAATTCATACTTAATATTTGACCTCGTGTTCGGACTCCAAAAAAAATTCAATGCAATTTGAAAAAGAAAAGAAAGATTTTTTTAGTCATTTTATCTAATTCATAGAATACGTGATGATCCAGTGGTTCTTACTCAGGGAATCTTTGGCTTAGCTTATGATTTTTTATTGAATCATCGTGGTTCTAGTATGAATCTGAGGTTTTAATCGATTCATAGGGATTTAACAAGAGAATTCCTACCAATTCAATAATAACGAAAGGAAAAAAGCCACATTAGAGACAAAAACAAATTAAAGAAAAATAGGTAAAGAGAGGATTCAAGAGGCCAGTAAGGATCAACATACCGACGATTGAGCCAACTTGATGTTTTGGTATTATCATTACAAAATTATCACTACAAAACAAAGAAGAACTTTTGGATTTTTTTCTTCTTTCATAGACGTAGAGAAGATTGAATCGAAGATTCAGAAGTTTCAAACTTTCTATTACATGTCCGATCCTACTGTTATTTTATTTGGGTGTTTTTGCTTGAGCTGTACGAGATGAAAGTCTCATATACGGCTCTGAGAGGGGGATTTTCACCTATCTCAATAAAGTCTATGATTGGTTCGAAGAACGTCTCGAGATTCAGGCGATTGTGGATGATATAACTAGTAAATATGTTCCGCCCCATGTCAATATATTTTATTGTTTAGGGGGAATTACTCTTACTTGTTTTTTTGTACAAGTAGCTACGAGATTTGCTATGACTTTTTACTATCGTCCGACCGTTACTGAAACTTTTGCCTCTGTTCAATACATAATGACGGAAGCTAACTTTGGTTGGTTAATTCGATCAGTTCATCGATGGTCGGCAAGTATGATGGTCCTAATGATGATTCTACATGTTTTTCGTGTATATCTCACAGGTGGATTTAAAAAACCTCGCGAATTAACTTGGGTTACTGGTGTTGTTCTGGCAGTATTGACCGCATCTTTTGGTGTAACTGGTTATTCCTTACCTCGGGACCAAATTGGTTATTGGGCGGTAAAAATTGTAACAGGTGTACCTGAGGCTATTCCTGTAATAGGATCGCCTTTGGTAGAATTGTTACGCGAAAGTGCTAGTGTGGGACAATCGACCTTGACTCGTTTTTATAGTGTACATACTTTTGTATTGCCGCTTCTTACTGCTGTATTTATGTTAATGCACTTTCCAATGATACGTAAACAGGGCATTTCTGGTCCATTATAGAGAAGATATCTAATATATTTTAGAAGAAATATCAATGATTTATCACTTAGAGGAGGAATAATAGGATTTTATTGCTACAAGTATAGATTATTGAAAATAATAAGACATGGTTTTGGATATTTCTCTTCAACTAATCATGTCAAATAAAAAATATTGTGAGGTTGAGGGGAATTCTCAGAAGAGAAAATGGATTATGGGAGTGTGTGACTTGAACTATTGATTGGTCTGTGTAGATATATGTCTGCCACATTAGAATTCACAATCCAATGTGTCTTTGTTCCAACCACTGCGTAATCACTAGACAGAAGATAGGCTGGTTTGCTTGAAGAGAATCTTTTCTATGATCAGATCCAAATCGTGTTTGTACACGAGCAGGCTCCGTAAGATCTAGTATAAGTAAGTGAAATAGCTAAAATAAAAGAGAATCTTGATCTATTTCCCTTACTTAATTACTTACTTATACGTCAAATTAAATAGTATGGAAATGCATTCATTTCCTCTGCATTGATATGATCGATAATACTATCGGGGTGCAACAAGGGATCTAAAGAAAAAAGATAGACTAGACTAAATTAGTAACAAGTAAACCTTTTGTATGTGCATCTCCAATTATTTTGGAGATAAGATAGTAATCGGAAAGTCTGAGACGACCCAGAAAGTACTTGATCATCTCATAATCAACTTTGTAAGCCGACTTGGGTATTGAGTATTTCCTTAGACTTAGAACCGAATTCTTTGCAATGGATAATTGCAATTTCGGAAAAAGAGTCTGACTTTTCTTGCATTAAATCATTCATATATGTGTAGATATAACCAACACATATATTTTTTCTGGATTCATTTGGTTCTTTTGAGTCTTGCTCGAGCCGGATGATAAATTATCATGTCCGGTTCCTTGGGGGGATGGATCTATAAGAATTCACCTATCCCAATAACAAAAAAACTTGATTTGAATGATCCTGTATTAAGAGCTAAATTGGCTAAAGGTATGGGTCATAATTATTATGGAGAACCAGCATGGCCTAATGATCTTTTATATATTTTTCCGGTAGTAATTCTAGGTACTATTGCATGTAACATAGGCTTGGCGGTTCTCGAACCATCAATGATTGGTGAACCGGCAGATCCATTTGCAACACCTCTGGAAATATTACCTGAATGATATTTCTTTCCCGTATTTCAAATACTTCGTACAGTACCCAATAAATTATTGGGTGTTCTTTTAATGGTTTCAGTACCCGCGGGATTATTAATAGTACCCTTTTTAGAGAATGTTAATAAATTCCAAAACCCTTTTCGTCGTCTAGTAGCGACAACCGTCTTTTTGATTGGTACCGCAGTCGCCCTTTGGTTGGGTATTGGTGCAACATTACCTATTGAGAAATCCTTAACTTTAGGTCTTTTTTAATTTGATTCATTGAATTTGATTCAATTGTGAAATAACACGACGTGTGTATCTAGGGAATAGTCGCTGCAAGGCAAATTCTCTCTAGATACATCTATTCAATAAAATTCGAATTTTCTTTTGAATATACGAATTGTGCTACATATTCAAAACCTATTTTCATCTTAATTTGAATTAAAAAAATACAATCGATTTAAAACTTATGGTTTCGTAAATCAATTGAGAAATGTTTTTCTAGACTATCCAATATCTCGTATACATCTTCTAGGCCAAAATTTTCAATTTTAAGAAGATCTTCTTCACTCTTATTTAAGAGGTCAAATAATGTATCGATTTTGAACCTTTTGAGGCGATTATAGACCTTAGGAGACAATTCGGATTGATCAATAAAAATCGACTTCAATGCTAATTTTTTTTTGCTGTTTATGAGTTTATCCAATTTATCGTGAAAAGTAAAAAGGGATAAAAGAACCCCGTCTTGATTGTTTTCTAAAGGTAAGTTTTCTTCTTCCTTATGTAAAAAGGGAATAAATAAATCAATCAATTTCCGGGAGGCTTCGTGTAGTTCTTCTTTCGGAGTTAAACTCCCATTTGTCCATATTTCGAGAAACAAGATCTCTTTTTTTTTTTTTCATTCCCACTCCCATAGCGATGAATACTATAATTGACATCTCGAACAGGCGTGAATACAACATTTATAGGATAACTCCCATCTTGAAAGTTAGGTGGCATTTTTTGAATATATCTGCGATTTTTATTGATTTCTAATCCAATAGACAAATTAATTGGTTCTGTCAAGTTAGCTATATGTTGTATATTGTCTACGATTTCTACATAAGGCGGTAAGATGATATCTTGAGCAGTTACATATCGAGGACCTTTTACACAAATAAACGCATCACAAGTCCCATATAGATTACTTCTCAATACAATTTCTTTCAAGTTCATTAAAATTTTGTGGACCGATTCTTGAATACCCGTTATAGTAGAATATTCGTGAGTTACGTTCTCAGATTTTACACGTGTGATACATGTTCCTTCTACTTCTCCAAGAAAAGCTCTTCGGATTGCAATCCCTATTGTGTCGGCTTGCCCTTTCATAAGCGGAGACAGAATAAAGCGCGCATAATAAAGACGTTTACTGTGTCTTCTTGATTCAACACACTTCCACTGTTGGAGTGTTCGAGTAGATACTCTTACTTTCTCCCGAACCATAGTAATACTATTTTATTTGATTGAATTATTTATTTCTCTTGTTTATTTTGAAATTTATTCG